TAGACTTAATTTAGGAATTAGGAAATTTAATTTATTCAAAAACTTTTAAACTAACAAACCAACATATTTATTTCATATTATAACTTTCTTGCTGTGCGACGGATACATGTTATTATTACATTTAAAACATAGGCTGTGACACTTGCAATTTTTCTTCCTTTGGCAAATATGGCACCTTCCTTGTATTTTTGGTTGTGGTAAATTCAGTTTTTCCACGAGTTCTTCCACGTTCAAATAATCTTCCAGTTCTTTCAATATCTGGTCGATACTTTTTTTTTGTTAGTTAGTTGAGATTAGATTGTTCGGTCGCTTATTTTTAAGTGTAGCTCTAAAAGCCTTTTGCCTAACTACAATAAAAATATCCTTCTTTTGTCTTAATATTAGCATAAAAGCATTTGCTGCTGCAATGCCAATAATGTTTATAAACAACGTAACTAACCACCTTTTGGATTGTCTGTTGCAGGTGTATTCGGCAAACATCTTGTCCAGTGTATCTACGGAATTAGAATGTAAAACATTATAATGCCCTTTGTGACATTATAATGTGTTATTGTATCTGATTTTTTTCTGTCTTCGCAAACTGCGGAATGTTGGCGTTCGGAAGATAAGAGTAAGTAACACTTTTTACTTTTGGGACATAGATGGGACATTAATGTGATTTCCGATTGGAAGTTAAAAACTGAAGAATAAACATCACGATTTCGAGCAGACATAAACTCAGAAGGATGCACGTTTTATTCCTTAATAGCGTTAAGCATAGTGTTTCTTGTCGGTCAGATCTTCTGCCAATTCCAAAAAAGTGAAGAAGTTATCCGTGGTAATTCCATTCCAGAATGGAGACCAAATTCAACACTACCCTTCTTCCTTAGTTGTGTTCCGAAGAATTTGCTTATTTTCCCAAATAAACTTGGTAATTCTCACAATAAGTGGTATCAACATCTGCAAAACACCAACTTTTAATCCCATATTTTGCTACGAACATTTCAATCACCTTTCGAATAGGTGCCAGTTTGTCGGTTTGTCTACTGTATTCCTGAATACCTTTATCATCAAAAGGCATCCAGTTGGTTATTTGTGAAAACCTGGTCCATGGCATTATTGTAGAATATAGCGGTCTCTTGAAACAATGGTCATCTTGCCATAGCATTCCTGTAGGCTCTCGATTACTTTGCAGAGCACTACAGTCTAATATACAGATAAAATAGACTGTCTGTCACCAACATTGTTCAAAATAGATGAAAAGAGCACTAACTACTTTTAAAAAGAAATGCCAAAACCTTTGCCCATACCTTTGGATGACGTTACAACGTTATATATACTGTCGTTTGTAGACGTATATTTGCATTAAAGGAGCACAAGATTTACAACTAGCAAATGGTCAAAAATTAAATACGGATCTGTTTTCAAATACCTGGGGATGAACCAGAACGTCTTCACGAATGTGTCATCAGCTACCCCTCATATACATTTTAGAACATTTAAATATCTGTATAAGATTTTTACGTGAATTCAATGATTTTTCAGGTAGACTGTACTATCAGTGAAGCGGGGAATAAAGGTTTGGTAGCAGTGCGATTCTCTGAATGGTTACACTTACGATATAACTGTATATGCAGGAAAATATATGAAAAATGCTTACAATCAAAATATATTGATGAATGAGTTGTATTTAAATTATGCGAAAGTTTGCAAAGCCATATTGTGATACTTGCTATCGCCAGATTCTTTACTTTGTAAACTATGTAAACCTTTTGAGGGAGTTTCCATGTGAAGTACTTGGAACTTACATGAAAAACAGGAAGAATATTTTCATAAATCAGAGACATTACTATAGTAAAGTAAAAGCAAAAATAAGATCAGAAAAAGAAGTGAAGTGCCCTACTGTTATAGTTACAGTTAATAAAACAATGGAAGAGGTGAATCTAGTTGAAAAAAAGTTCAGGTATGTATGAATATGTAACATATTATGTTCAGGTATGACTTCGACAAAAAACTACAAAGTGGTGAAAAAGTTTTTTTAAAAAAGAAAACTGCAAAATTTCAAAACTTTTTCGTGAATTTTGCTGCAGAGATAGTTTTGGCCAGACGACAGATTTGAGTAAAGTTACAACGAAGATATGTGAGACAAACAGGTTTCGACAACAAAAAGCCAAACTTCTACTACATATTGGAGATCAGATGCCAATTCCTACCTGAGATAGATGGTGCTACATAAAATGTGCACAAGACAAGAAGATAAAAAAAACCATGTTTATTTGGTCATCTTCTAGAATTCCACTTGGCACAGTTTGCTTCACTCTGTATTATTCATATTTTCAAATTATGCTTTTTTATGTTTTATAATTCCTTTACTGTTTAATTTTATAATTTTTTTGCAAATAAATGAATATTTACCTCTATGCTTACACTTACACTTACCTCTATGCTTACACAAAGAAGAGAAGATTAGCCAAAATACTAGGCAACTAATGCAGAAAAGAAGAGAAATGAGAAGCGAGACGGAAACTAAAGCCGACGAACGACAAAAATGAAATAAAGAAATATCCAAAGCTGTTAGACAAGACAGTCGAAAATACAACCACGAACAAATCTAACATACCATTGAGAACAATAGAGGTATGAAAGTATTGAGAAAAAGACTAAGAACGGAGACAAGGCAGATAATAAAAATTAAAGATAGAAATGGTCATCTTACAACCAACAGAGAGGAAATCCCTAAAATAGTTGAAAACTTCTACAAATTGCTGTACACAAGCCAACACAAAGCAAATAGCAGAGAAGATCAAATACCAGAAATAATAACAAAGAAAAAGGACATTGTCAACCAAGGATCAGAACTACTACCAGAAATCACAATGGACGAAATAAAACTAGCCATAAAAAAAGCTAAGAATAACAAATCTCCAGGCGAAGATTGTGTAGTTACTGATGCAATCAAAGTGGGAGGCACTTGCCTACTTAAGAAAATAAAAAACTTTTTTAACATGTGCCTTTTGGACAGTAATATACCCGACAAATGGCACAATGCTGAGGTAATGCTATTGTACAAAAAAGGAGATCCCTATGAATTAGAAAACTACAGACATACAAGTCTTCTTAGTCACATATACAAACTCCTTACATGAATTGTAACGAATAGTCTGAAGAAAAAACTTGATTTCTACCAGCCAATAGAGCAAGCGGGATTTCGTATCGGATTTGAAACAAATAATCACCTACAGAGCATTAAAACGATAATATAAAAGACTATCGAATACAATCGACCACTCGTTCTGGCTTTTGTAGATTTCCATAAAGCCTTTGACACGGTAGAATTTGACAAAATCCTGGAAGCACTATAAGCATGCCGCATTTACTACCGATATACAAGGTTAATTTACAATACATACAAGAACGCAACTATGTTGATGAAACTACATGAAAACATGGAGCACATCCCAATCAACAGAGGAGTCCGACAGGGTGATACCTTATCGCCTAAACTGTTTACCGCAGTACTAGAATATGCTTATAACTGGGAAAAGAAAGGCCTTAACATTGACGGTAGAAGATTAATAAATTTGAAATTAGCAGACTACATAGTTTTGTTCTCGGACAACCTCAAAGAGATATGTACAATGCTACATGAACTTTAGTTAGTGTGTGTCAGTGTGGGTCCTAAAATAAACATCTCCAAAACAAAATTTATGACAAACCTAGTACCTAGCGGAAATATCGATATTGGAGACAACGAAATAGAGAGCTGGTGGAAAAATACATATATCTTGGACACTAGATAAAGATCACAAGAGACAACCAAACATGCGAACTACGAAGGAGAATAAACCTAGCATGGGCAGCCTATGGAAAACTGTAATGTCCTATGGTGCCGAAACTTTGACATTGACAGCTACAAGTTCTAAAACGCTACAAATAGCTCAGAGGAAAATGGAAAGATCAATGCTGAGTATATCGCTTCCTGACCAAGTTAGAAATGAAGACTTAAGACGAAGAACAGGAGTTACCGATGTAATTTCCCGAATTGCCACACTGAAATGGAACTGGGTCGGACACTTCGCCCGAATCAGTGATGAAAGGTGGACGAAGAGATTGCTTGTGTGGAGGCAGCGGTTAGACAAAAGAAGTAGAGGAAGACTCCCTACACGTTGGACTGACGATCTCAAGAACATGTCAAGAAATTGGATGAAAAGTGCTCAAGACAGAGCAGATTGGACAAAAATGAGGGAGGCCTATGTCCAGCAGTGGACGCAAAGGGCTGGGTGGTGATGATGATGATGATGATGCTTACATTTTAGTATTCCGAATCATAAATGGGATATACTATACTTCCCTATACAATTGTAACAATACGTCCCATCCCCATCACTAATTTTAATAAATCAACTGACCCGAACGCATGCATACCAATAATAATAATCGTAGAAACCCATTTCTATTTTATTGGGAACTTTTACAGCGCAAGGAAGATGCTATACAATCCTACTGCGTAGCATGTATAGATGCTATCTCATTGCAATGTATCTGTTTATAGAAAATGTGTACCTATATTTTGCCCACTTTTTAGGCGATTTGCATATAAAATTAGAGTTTATAACGATTTCTTTAATTCCAAATAAAACGTAGTTTATAGGACAAAGATCACACGTCACACAATACCTAAAGAAATAAAATCTTACCTTCCTTTTTATTTTAATATAAAGATCGCTATATTTTCATGCATTATAAATGTAATCGCCAGACCATTTATTTTCTAAATCGGAATATAATGACATGTATTTAAAAATTTAATGATACACTACTATACTTGCTTGTAAATTAATCTTGGAGTTTGTACTCCTATATAATGTTGTCTTACAAGTTGTAAACAAGCCACGAGATCTTGGAAAACTTTGTTCGAACACTTTGAAAAGCTCGTTCTCGCAACTTTGGCAATGTTTTATTTATCTTTCATTTAAAACACTATATTTTAAACAAAAGTTGTAAATATTGCTTATTCTTACCTGGATATCTTCGTAAAAAACCTGTGGAACTTCCGAAAAACTGCCATGATAACGAAGGATCTCCTTCATAATTGTTAATAAATAATGGATCTAGGTTTTCAGACCATTGTATTGCATTCATAACATCGGTATCTAGAAAAAAAGAAAATACATCAGCTTTATAATTATTATAAATTATATAAGAAATAATTACATCATAAAACATAATTAAACATAATAAAAAAAATCTAATACCGTCATTATGTTTTATTTCTTTAATCTGTTTGGAGTACTATACATGATACACTGAATTCACTACGAATTTTGACTATGATGAACGGCAGGTGAAATACATATTTTAGATTTCCTTGCCGAGTAATTTATCAAGCTGTTTGCTTTGCAAGTTGTAGAAGGCACAGTGGTAAAAATTTAAATTCAGTTTCACCAGTTAGGAAATCGTATGATTTCTCTTGTTGTTAAATAATTATATATCAGAAAAATTATATACCCAATACGTCTTTGAATATGAGTATATTCATACCCGATAAAACATTTGTCCATGTCACTGGTCTACTACCAATTGAAATTGATTTAAACGGAACCTGGGAAACGATTAAGACATGGACTGTATATATTGTTCTGAAGCTATTTTCTTATGGCATTGTGAATTAACTACTATTAAACTGGGAATAAGCCACAATTAAAGATAAAAATACGTTTATTGACGTTTCAATTTCCACTTCAGAAATCGTTCTCAAAATACAAACAGTAAATTAAACAAATTTTGTTTTTTGTTACATAGTGAAAAATTCTTCTAAGAATTTAATTTTATCTGACTCATTTATATTGACAATTCAGACATACATTATGCATTTTAAAGTAGACGACTTTAAAATGATATTGCCAATATTGTTGAGTTGCGCTCCTGGGACGACTTTACTTATAAGATAGTTCATTCGATTACATGAAATCAACTTTAACTTGAGAATATCCGTCAGAAAAAAATCATAGCATGTAATTCGTCTTTAAAAAGACAAACACATGACATGATGACAGTAAAATTCTCCTGTTAGTGATTCCATAGTAAATTATGAGGGAAAAACCAGGAAAAAAACCTCATAATACTATCCCGACATTGTAAGTATTTGTTCGTGAATTTAGTTTACCTTCAACAAACATCAAAATTCTGATTTTATATGTTACGTTATTTAAAAAACATAAATGATGTATCCTCTATATGTTACTGACTTAATAATACTGGTATTTTCTTATTAATAACTTCCTCTTTCAATATTGGTAACCAGATCCTACTACATTCTGCCGAGGAATTTGCGACACAATTGGCTTCATTTAGCATAATTAGAGCCGCTTCTTTGATTGTTCTTTTTTTACCATCCGTTTCTTTTAGGTTTACATTTGAATTATTCCATTGAACCCTATGTTCATTATGACATGCGTGTTTACAGATTTGAGATCTATCAAATTCTCTATTTTTATTATAGGATTGATGTTCACTTATTCTAACATTTAATGGCCTTGATGATTCACCTAAATAAAACTGATCGCATTCACAAGGTATTTTATAATACTAAAAATAGAAAGGACAAAGAATTGCATTTATAAAATACCTTGTGAATGTGATCAGTTTTATTTAGGTGAATCATCAAGGCCATTAAATGTTAGAATAAGTGAACATCGATCCTATATTAAAAATAGAGAATTTGATAGATCTCAAATCTGTAAACACGCATGGGATAATGAACATAGGGTTCAATGGAATAATTTAAAAGTAGTCCTAAAAGAAACGGATGGTAAAAAAAGAAAAATCAAAGAAGCGGCTCTATATATGCTAAATGAAGCCAATTGTGTCGCAAATTCCTCGGCAGAATGTAGTAGGATCTGGTTACCAATATTGAAAGAGGAAGTTATTAATAAGAAAATACCAGTATTAGTAAGTCAGTAACATATAGAGGATACATCATTTATGTTTTTTAAATAACGTAACACATAAAATCAGAATTTTGATGTCTGTTGAAGGTAAACTAAATTCACGAACAAATACTTACAATGTCGGGATAGTATTATGAGGTTTTTTTCCTGGTTTTTCCCTCATAATTTACTATGGAATCACTAACAGGAGAATTTTACTGTCATCATGTCATGTGTTTGTCTTTTTAAAGACGAATTACATGCTATGATTTTTTTCTGACGGATATTCTCAAGTTAAAGTTGATTTCATGTAATCGAATGAACTATCTTATAAGTAAAGTCGTCCCAGGAGCGCAACTCAACAATATTGGCAATATCATTTTAAAGTCGTCTACTTTAAAATGCATAATGTATGTCTGAATTGTCAATATAAATGAGTCAGATAAAATTAAATTATTAGAAGAATTTTTCACTATGTAACAAAAAACAAAATTTGTTTAATTTACTGTTTGTATTTTGAGAACGATTTCCGAAGTGGAAATTGAAACGTCAATAAACGTATTTTTATCTTTAATTGTGGCTTATTCCCAGTTTAATAGTAATTAATGGACTGTATATGTTCTAAGTAAAACTACAAATCTAATAACACTAAAAAAGAAACAGTGGATGACGGAAAGGACAATTAATTGACCTAATATACTCTCGAAGAAAGCAAATAGAAAAAAACAAATAGAAAAAATAACAGAATACTGTTTTTGCCTGCTTTTATTTAATTTGTGTAATTTAGATATGTTTTTGTACATACTTATGACAAATCAAATAATGGAGAAGAAAATTATTTGTGTGTAAACAATTTATTTCATAGTTGAGTGCTTTCGGCTTACAAAGTCATCTTTATAGCTATGGTCAAGTTTTTAAAGTATCACTACTAGGAAAGATCTCATTTGGTAAAAAAGATTGTTTTAAGCTATTTAAAATATTCCATTGAAAAAACACAAAAAGACTGTATATTGGACTCCACAAAAACACATTAAAAAATTTGGTTATGGTATGGGTGTCAAAACCCAACCATTTGTTGGAGTTGAAGTAGCAGATAGAATAGATAGAGTTATTTTTAGAAGGATCATGTATCGATTGGTACAGTTCAATGTTTTCAAAATGTACAATAAATTCTGATTGGAAAGAATTGAAAAACAAGTTTTGTGATACATATGCAGATAAAGGGTGGACTTCGGTGATGTATGCCATTGAGTTCAGATACATAGATGGTTCCTTATTAGAATATACGAAAAAGAGAGACTTCGGCTACAAATAAACAAGTTGTTAGATAGAAAAACTATTATCACACCGCTTTTCCAGTAAACTAACGTCGCCATCTATTAAAGAAATCTGAACTACCACCATTCATTTCATTCATATTTTGTTCTTGAAAAGATATGTTTAATTAATAATACTGTATTAATTACTGTATTAATTATTACAGTATTATTAATTAATTAATAATACTGTAATAAGAGGTCCCAAATATAGGTTACTACAAAATATCATGCAAGGAAAAATAGCAGGCAAATGCAGTCCAGGACGAAGAAGAACCTCATGGTTGAAGAACTTGCGAGTTTGGTACGGTGTTGATACAAGCATGCTATTTAGGGTGGCAGTGAATAAAATTAAGACAGCTATGGTGATAACCAACGTTCTGAAAACACATGGTACATAAAGAAGAATAAGTGTTAATTACATATTAATATAATTCGACCCTCCCAACTCATAACTTATTTTTTTCAATTTTGAGTTATTACCATAAACAGATTTCATGATATCGAAATTTTTTCCACAGAATACTATAATAACTCAAATCGTAATATAGACAACACAATATACATTAATGTAAATGTAATATCTCAATGCTCTCTGTACTTTACCGCGAAGAAAGTAGTATTATGGAGTTAACTATAGCATTCGCTGTAAATTTGTGAGAAGGAACCGAGATACGGCTATACGTTTCAAGCGAATAAAATTATAGTTTATGTTAAATGTCGTTTCACATTAGATGAAGCACTAAAGAGAAAAGAGAACCTTGTTTATTATTATAATAATTCATAATAATGTCGCACAGAACTAAACGAATCTTGAGATTACTTTTTATTAATAATACACAAATAGCATCAGGTGAGTTGCTGTCATTATATTTATTTGAATCTCTGCTTAAAATCCTATTGTTCTACATAGCATGGACAGTAAAAAAGTTAATATTAATGGAACAATCTAGGTATTTAATCATTTAAAGTTTTCTTTTTTTTTAATTTAATTTTTTATTTTTTTTTTGTTTTAGACAAAGAAAATGAAAGTAACGACGACAATCATATCGCTGGCATTGATACCAATATATTTCCTTCTGATTATTCCTTCTGATGTTTACATTTGATTTGATTCTGATGATGTCTACAAACTAATTGTATAGGACTGAAGTATGTATTAAAAACAAATGTTAAAATTGTTCTACGAATTAAACGTCTTTAAAAATTTTGTAAAAATATAATACATTTTTCAGTCCTTAAAGTCAGGCCACACGAGGAACAAGAATGTGTATGTTGCGTTTGGTCATATTGATGATTTTATTATTTGACAATATTTGAATTGTCAATAATTTCATTTTATGATTAAATTATACACAAATACTAAAATACGCAAATTTTCACAAATACTGCTACTATTAGTGAACAATAAATGAAGCGTGATTTCCATAACGTTGTAAGTGCCAATATGCCTCATTTGGTTTTTTTAAGTTAAATGAGTTGCAAGTGCCATATTCCATCGCCTAAAATTTATTTCATGTCGATATGGCTAGCACCGGCGTGAAAAGTAGGGATAAAGTAGCGGTGCAAGTCATAACATTGTAAGTATCGTAGTGTAGTGCAATTATGTTAAATGTAGAGTGGCGCATCAGTTACTAAATTATTTTTGTTTGGACGTGTTGGGTTGGGTTTAAACATAAGTATTTGGAACGAATATGGATGAAACTACAGAAAAACGGTCCAAAAAGAAAAGAAGAGTTGTTGATAGTTGGAAAAAAAATAAAACCAAGAAAATGAGAAATGGCGAAAAATATGTTTCTCTAGTCGTTAAAAATACCGTTACAAAGAAAATGAAACCAGCTGATGTAAGTATGGTTTAAAGAGATACCTATCTAAATAGACGTTAAAACATAAATAATTTTTTTTTGT